TGGTAGCAGAGTTTATCACGCGTCTGTAAGTGTGAGATTTACCCAGAATCAAAGTGAAATGAAGGAAATATAACTCGACAATTTCGGCCAACATGCCGATTATTATCCATAGCAACACCGTAACATTTTGATATATCTCCTATCACAGAGAGTGTGCACCTTATTCCAGTCGATAGAAGATGACTTTTAGTACGCAAAATAAACCTACCAAGTTTCATCAGAATTTATTCTGGCAACTTTTTTTGCCAGCTGTTGAAGTGCGTTTTTGACCCTATTCCGCTAGATGTCAGCCATATTCTGACGTCATTTTTTTCAATACAAAAGCAAGTGAAGGTCTGCTGACTTTTTCAAATATCGAAAATCAAAGTACTTATCTTTTATTTCAGTAACAAAACTATATTTCCAATAATTATAATAAAAAATCAATGTGTTAAAATAACTTTTACCTTCTCGGATGTCTTAATTCAAAATGACGATTTTTATCATTATCGCACCTGCAGTTCTGCGCTGTCGATGAGAGTTCTTCACGAAATTTGTCGTCATACAGCAGTCTGCACAATTTTGAATGAAAAATCGACTTAGCATCAGAGTATCCAGTCTGTTCACCATTACGCACTAGGTCTCAAACTCTTGTTTATTTCCATTATCAAACAAAACCACTTCAGAATTTACAGTGCCGCCGGAATCTCCCCTTACTTACCCTCCGGGTCGCTGCGGGTTGTACGGACGGCCTGGCTCGGTTACTATGGAAATAACATTGTCATCCATACGCTGTTTGGTTTCTGTTAACAATAGTTCCATACCCTGCCCGTCGGGCAATTGTCGTGACAAACTTTCTGCTAACAAAAGAGCCTAACCCTAGCTCGCTGAGATAAAGATCGAAGGTGAGCGTGGTCGCAATTAGTGTTCGTCCAAGCGTTAATTGACCTTTAATGCGCGGTGGCTTCACTCTACTTTGATCACTCTACTCTGATACGGAGATTTTAAGTATAAGAACTTGCCAACAGTGATTTTTAAAAGTCGCTTTACCAAAAAGATTCGGTGATGACAGCAATTTTCGTGTACATTGTAGCTATGAATTGATTGAATTTACATAGAGTTTAATAAATGAATTTATTAATTTATTAAAGATCAAATAAAACACTACTTGTACATGTAATATTTATTAGGCTTCAAACTGTCTTTACTATTTACATATTATTAACAAGATTGAAATTTATTTTTATGGTATGTCCTTATATTTCTATTAGCTTTGTTCATAGACGAAATGCATTTGTTTTTCCAAAAAGACTTGTCAGTTGTTTCAGTGATAAACATTTTGTTAGCCATATCTTTAATATAGTTCAGTCTATATTTGCATATAGGATCTCTCCCATCTACACCCGTAACATTTCTGTCCTTTCGTATTCGTTCATCAATCGTAAACAACCTTCCCATCAACTGAACGCAAAAGTTGCTGGGGAACTGGCCCGTTGTCGAATTTCGAATATTTCTTTATTTGACAAGGCGACGGGTGGCCGGCCAAAAGACTGATTCCTTGATTCTGTAGGACACAAAGTAGGAACTGTTTCTCTATCATTGTTTGATATGTAATTCAAAACGATAGGAATAGTTCATCTTTACGATCTAAAGCCCGAACTTAACCAAAAGCCTTCTTCATACTTAAATGCATCAAAAGAAATTAATTAAAAAAACTGGATTACGATCTCTCGGGCTAACTTCACTGGTTGGCACGTGTCATCTCACATTAATTAACAATCAGTTCAGGTTAGCTTTATTCATGCTGGGTAAACACAGTGATTAAGCCCTGACTATTACGTAATCACTACTGTGTGACACGCGTCGTCTAAAATTAATGTTAACATTGCGATGACGCTCTTCAATCCAAACTAATCAATTGCACATAATTCTAAATCAACTGACACGTGTCAACAGGATTGTTTACGTATCTGGACTTCCTAAATGGCCAATATGTATTTTGTTTAATATGACATGTTTATGTCACTGATTTCCATGCCATCGTGTCACCTGCCAAGTGAACGGTATAAATCGACACTCAAATTTTCCAAATCATCACAATTCCAAGATGCCTCTTAGCGATTACGTGCGTCTGCGTATCATCGCCTCCGAGAACAAGGGGTGCGAATTAAAAACATAACCACACAAATGGAAAATGAAGGCCATAAAGTGTCGCGACAAGCCATTTACTATGCCTTAAAGAAATACGACGAAGGGCTTGGTATTGCAGATAAGCCACGAAGAGGACGTTCCCATATTAACGCAGAAAAGTGTATTATACAGTAATAAATATATTAATCACCTAAAGAAGGTGATTCCAGCGGTACTAATTGAGAGAGAAGGTCGTGCATCAGGCTACTAAACTAGCAACACATGTAATAAAGGTAATGAAACATTGATAATTATTTGATGTATTAGCTATTTAAAATTTTCCATTTTAACTACGCTTTTGTTGATCGTGACTTATTATCATCAAATAAAATTGTTATACGTGTTTTAAAACTAAGCCTGAATTGTTTTTCAGAGTTTTGTTCTAATATTTGGCTTGCCTTTACTCGAGTCTTCTGTTGCAGTTGATACATAACCCGGTATTGTTTGCTCGTGTCGATAGCAATCTCTTTGCATCAGCTATAATAGAAACCTTAAGTGAGGCAATTAAGAAGGGGCAGACCGTGTTCGTTGAACCGACTACTTTGGGTGTCCGATAAGGATTGCTTGGGAATTCCCCTACCCTGTAATTATCATACGGCCTCTATTGTTCGACCATATGGGGCAGGGTTGGGAAACCATACGGCCATTTGGTAAGGGGACATTCCGGCGGCACTGTAGCACTGCACGCGTCTTTGACACATTTCCACTTGGTGTAGGGGAGTTCAGTTTGTAGCAGACACTTGACATGACTTTTAATGGGAAAGGATCACTTAAAGTTGCATGAGAAGTAAACGATGTAAATCTTGATATTTTTTGCAAATACTCAATAGATTTAAAATAGTATTTGAAATTATTTATACAAAAATCTCAGTACTGTTACTGAGCTGTCCCCCTCAATTCTTTCTTCTACAAAAATGGACTGAGCCGCACACATTTGGAATGTGGCACTGGTATCTTTGATACAATTTGGATACTTTTTGGAGATTTGCACATGGGTCAACCAAGTACGCTTTCCATGGGAAACTTTGTTTACAAATTTTTCACTGCATGGAATGAACAGAACACGTTCTGGCAATGACACTTTATTTGTATCAGGACACATATATAACTCAAACATATTTCCATTAGTAAAAGTGTGTCGTGAGACTCGAGATCAAAGGAGAAACTATAAAGGGCACAGATACACTTACAATCTTAAATTGGCGAGTTACACTCAGGATAAAAACTGAATGTAGGCCTAAAGTTCAATTTCAGTTAAACAAAACTCAGAAATGCATAAATCTAAAGTCCTTTTTAATATAGTCTATCGCTTTCAGGCTTATATTTGTATGTGTAACAAAAAAGTATCACTAATTTAATTGTAGTTTGATCATTTTTGAGAAGCCTGCGGTACAGATAAAATAAGAAAACTGTTTTCTCTCATCCAATCTGCCATGAACAGGTCAAGTATGCCAGAAAACATATTGGCACATACAGGCAGAAAAGTTCTTCATCTGTGAATTCTGAAATAATGAGAAATAAAGAAGCTGACAATAATTGTAATGAAAAAATAACAATAAATAAAGAGCTAACAGAGCAATTTTAGAATACGCTAAGGTACGTAGAGTGGTACGTATTGCATATCATACCGGTACATGGTAAACCCATGGCATTCAATGAAAGTTAAACTAAACATCATGAATTGCGTTTTACTTTAGAAGGCCTGCTTTACAAACGTTATCCTAAACCAGAATTACCTTTGTTAAATGTTTGTCATCCTTTTCAGTTCTAGAGTTCAGCTACAACCCACAACAGATCCACATTTATCCGCCTCTCTCACTTCTTTACACGTGTTCACTCCCTTAATACATATATATGTACTAGTAGGTCAACATATAATCTCCTGCATAAATGATATTAGATTACGTAAATTCAAACCCTTTTCCTAAGGTAAGGCCCTTCAAAAATGATAAATTCTCATTAATAAAATCATACAAAAGTGGCCCAATATTCCAAATGCATATCCACAAGCACATGTTTGCCTTTTGCGCATCACGCATCAAGAATAGGTGAAGGTCGTTCATAAAAATACTCACTGAAACTAGTTCAAACTGGATGTGTGCGATTCAGCATCGATTTCAGGTTAGTTTCAATTAAATGTGAATAAAATATGTAACCTTTAACCGTTTTTAGATAGAAAAATTTCATAGTTTGGCAGAGGTATCGAGAAGCGCCATTTTTTCCGAGATTTTTAGTTGAATGTTGGATTAGGGAACCGTGTGACCATACTAGAGAGTGTGCAAACTATTCCCTTCAAAATCTTAAACTTTGGATGATATTTTAACTCGTATCTAAAAATGAAAAAAATTCAGGCTGGCAACTTTTTTTTCTCGCAATATAGTCCCACCCCCTACGAGAGTCATTTTGAAACCGATTTTTTTTCATAAATTCAAAATCGTGAACATATTTCATTTTAATTTGTGGATGTTTCAGTAATCCTTTGAAATCGTGAGTAAGAGCATGAACTTTTCTTATTATCTTTACAAAATCACAACTCAAAACGCCCTGGTTTGTTTATAAAAGGATTTTATGTGCAAGGTACGGTTTTTCACGTCAGCCATCGCAGATGTCCAGAAACGGCGCTACTTCGTGACGCGGACTCACTGAAAAGTTTCAAATAACCGCCATGACGTTACGTTTTTCAGCCAGTTGCCATCTGACTGATTGACGTTTCTTATTTGAACTGTCAATTTTAGAGGTGCTAAACGCATGGATTTTGAGCTAGTTGTAAAATAGGGGAGGGAGGGGGAGGGAAGGGGGAGAGAGAGACCACACAAAACCTATATGCATACCTCTTCATACTGTGGACCGTGGAAACGCCTACAGACAACACACTGAGAGCTGTTTATTTCTTCAATAAGCTTGCTGTGTGTTTCCGTACTCCATACATTGGAGATCTAGATTGCTACAAAATCCTCAACTACCGCAACATAAGAGAATTAAAACTAACCAGCAGTGTACTGTACGCGGATCTCAGGTTGGGTACATGTAGGGATGAGAGGAATTATATCTTCTTATTTTCATTAACATTTTCTACGTGTCACTGGCGCTCAGTTTGCTGTATTCACTATGCTTTAAAACCATCACCTTGCTTCCCTTTGTAAAACCATTTACAGCAGTACTGTAATAAGTCCCTAGATAGATCAACATTATTTCCAATTCACAATTCCATAAAAATGTCAGTGCATCTGAAACTGCTGCGGGCATAAGTGTTATTAAAAAATCTGATTTTTCTTCACTGAAATTAAAAAGACAAAAGGTACATTTATATATTCTTAAAGGTGCCCATCATGATATTTTTCCTTGGGGGTGGGGGGGGGGGGGGGAGGGNAGTGTTATTAAAAAAATCATACTTGGTAAAATTCTCAAAAAGTTGCACAATCAGTTTAAGAATCTGATTTTTCTTCACTGAAATTAAAAAGACAAAAGGTACATTTATATATTCTTAAAGGTGCCTATCATGATATTTTTCCTTGGGGGAGGGGGGGGGACCATACTTCAAATAATCTTCCTGGGTAAACAGTAATTTTCTCCAACTAACCTTTCATCCTTGGGACTTGACATTTGCCATAACTCTAGGAAAATTTAAAAGTCCTTCACCAACGTTTCTTTTTCAAAGTCCACCATCACTGTGAACACCCACTTCTGGATTGTGCACAATTCCAAATGGGGTAAAAATAGTTGAGAAATGGTGAGATTTGCCAAATGATAAATTATTTTGGAAGCAGTAATTCATGACACACATCTGTTCAAAATGACCAAAAAGTACTATTTGTCCTAAATAAAGTTCAACAATAAGTGGTTTTAGGAAAAAATGTGTGTTAAAAAAAATCTTTGTTCCTAGTAAGATTTTTCGTTGACTAATATCTATCTTTAAAGTACAAAATATAGTATTACTCAAAATCAAGTCAATTTTATTGATTACACTAAGACTGGAAGAAAATGTTATTTAAATCACTTCAATATTAATCAAAACATTTCTTCAAGTTCTGCTCTGATACTGTTTTATCCATTTCATATAAGCTTTTGCCAACTGTTGCTGCCATGAGTTATCTGGCTCGCTATCTATTATCAGTTCAATTTTTGTAATCTCACTTTTGAGAATACCAGAATCATCAATCTTCAATTTTTTTGCACATTTTGATGACTGTGGTACCAAACAGTGATCCATCACATTCACTGTTTGATAATCATATGGTATGAGTAAGTCTTCTCCTTCAGTTGAACTGGAAGTGTCAATAACTGCATCGGATTTGCTTATGTTCTGTAAATTATACATTGCATGGATGATAAATCTCCTATGGTACCATAGGGCTTCATGGCCAGGGTAGACAGATATCAATTCTGATATAAAATCTAGTTCTTGTTGCAAAATGCTGGATGTCTGTTCTGCGTTACTCAATAGAAACTGTCTATAGTGGAATCCACTGTGATCTGATACATGCATAGAGACATAACTTCTGGTGTTTTCATATTCAGCCATTATGAATTGCTTGTTACAGTTAAAGAGGTTGATTATGACCCATATTCTGTGACTCCATGCATTATAGTTATTTGCATATTTTTCAGCTGCCATGGTACACACCCTCATCTCTTCATTAATCAAAGCTTTCAGCTCCTCTGTGGATAATTTCATAACCCTAGGTATGATGTGGCTAACACGTAAAGACGGATTTCCAGACTGATTTGGTTCAATTTGACTATTATCAACAATGTCAGCACCAAAACAGGAAAGACTTAGTATCCATTTTCTGTGTGCAAATGTCTCAGGACTTTTAGGGTGTTTGCTTAGTACAAGTGCACTCAGTTTTAGTTCTTCATAGACAGAAACATGTTTCTCCTGCAATAATTCTTTTCTTATGTTCCAGATACTGTAACATTCTGGGTTGATGAGAATAACAGCCCTGCTAAGTCTTAACAACTCTGGGGGCTCAAGAATGTTTCTGGCTGCATCAACTGACCTAAAAAACAAGATATGATAATAAACAAGTATATCTTAAACAGAATCTGCAAAAATAAGCATATATGGGGATTAACAAGAATAAAGATCAGCACGTTTCCAGGATGTGCACAATTCAAACTACAGTGTGTCATGATAGTCTTTTATAGTTAAGCTTGCTTAAGAAAAAATGATTTTTCTTCAACCAAAATTGAAATAACTGAATCAAATGCATTGGAGACTGCACAATCATATATAATTAAAAGTGCTTTTAAAAGTGATAGGGGAAGCATACCCATTATTAATTAAAAAGCAAAAATTTGTTAACTGTTTCTTTTCAAATATGGTTGACAGGTAGGTGGCAAGGTTGGTCAGGAAGTGATTAAGTTTACTTCAAATAATTGCATTTAGGTCCCTTTAAAAACCAATTTTTAGCTAAGTTTCATTAACTAAAAGCTGTTACCGTACATATTTTGAAATAAAATACTGGTATGTCGGAGTGACACAAGCATGCACTACGTGGGGAGAGTGAACAGGGCAAGCAGAGTTCAATTTGTCTTATATGGCAGATGACACTCTCAGACATGTTCCAATGTGAGTGACACCACTGGCAAACAACATATACTTGTACCTTGTACTGTGCAAGAGGTGACATCCACTGGCATGGGACCTCCATTTCATCAGTTTTCCATAGCAATAAATGTACACCAACCTAGCACTCCACAGCTCCATTCCCAGTGCTAATTCTGCTACGATAATTGGACTTCGGTTGGATTCTGGTTCTTTGACGGGCAAAATATCAAACTCTGAAATATCTGGATGGCGACGAAATGCTGCATCTAAATCCGACAAAACTCGGATAGCCCTGTTCTCTGTTTCCGAGTTTTCCATAGTTTTTTAATCGTTAAAATCCCTTCATATTGTATAGATATGACCATGTGGCATAGTAAGCTATTAACGTTTACCTTTAAAAACCTTTTGTTCAAGCGAAAATTACTTTCCTCGTCCGGTATAGAAATAATTGGGTCAAATCGCTGGGCTACAGAAGCATTACCGGAAGTGTTGCTAAACTCGAAAATATTTTACTAAATAGGGAAACACAGTTACTTATGAATAAAAAAACAAAGTTTCGTTATATTATTTCTTTGAAAATATCAAACTGATTAAAAACTAAAAAAATTGTATATTACTTTGACACCATGCAAACACAAATGTATCTGTATGTAAAAAACGCCTAAGTTGTTGTAATCAGCAGAGTGGCGCAGTGGAAGCGTGCGGGGCCCATAACCCCGAGGTCCTAGGATCGAAACCTAGCTCTGCTAGACGAATCATTTTTTCTCCACTCTTAAAATTTCTTTTCGTTTGTTTCAATAATCAGTGTTCTACTTCACTTTTGTTATTGAACTAAATTGTTGTTTTAATTTTTACAAAATTAAGATGATTAATCCATTTTATTACATTACAACACTTACGTATGTTAAGTAATACGTAATAGCACTTTAACGTATGTTTTTTTTTTTTTTTTTATCAAAACGAATAGAAAAAAACCATCTTTCTCGAAAGTCGCCTTAAACCCTGACAGGAAAAAGCAAAAGAAAAGAACGTAAAAGTGAATCGTCATGAACAGGATTCGAACCTGTGCGGGCAGAGCCCATTTGATTTCGAGTCAAACGCCTTAACCACTCGGCCATCATGACTGTTCCCGCCAAAAATGGGTCAAAACGATGTATAAGAAACGTGGATCATATTTGTCATCCATATCCTTACCTGACAAATCAAATTGTTACTCATTTTGAGTGTAGACTGAAGAAAATTATCTATGTTATAAATATCAAATAGTCGTGTTTTTGTATGTACATATGTCCTGCAAAACTATTTTCTCGTCTCTGACTTGAAAAACCTTATATTTCTTGATGACAATTAATTGTAGGCCTACACGAAATTATACAGGCACAGACCTTGGACATAATAACGAATCATAATTTTGTCCATGTATAGACAATGGTGCATTCCCATAGATTTTAGATCGATCTATCCCCGTGGGGAGTCTCACTAGATTACTGTCAGATAATCCGGCTTATATGTCCGTCCCGCCTACTACAAGCTGTAATTAGGGGGGTAATTAACTTTCGTGCCCGCTCAGCTGACAGCTATTTAGCGTGAACCCCCAGGGAGTTAGGTCGATCTAGTTGAATCGATCTAATCTCTGGGAACGGGGTGAATCGTGACTGGTCAGTCATTTAGAACTAAATTATTTTCTTAAAACGTAACGTGACAGTCCCTTTCCCATTCATTTGTACAGGTAGCTCACCATAGAATTTGACCCGCTTAAAGTCAGGCTAATCCTTACTACCTTCTACCACTGTAGCCTACCAGGGTGGCAGATTATGTAGGGAAAAATGGGAAAATCCGAAAATCAGATAGTAAAATGACCGTCTATATTTATCTAAAGACATTTCTGTGAATATCCTGTGAAAAATCAATCTGTAGCCCTGGTAGAGGGTAAACCCTTACCATTATAATTAAAAGGAGGGTGGAATATTTGTTACACGGGCCTTCTTTTTCGTTTCACCTGACCGAAGAGAACCTGTGGCGGAAATTGTTCATTTGAAAAAAAAAGTCAGCAGAAGATTATGATATTTGGACGTCAATCAAAACTGTTTAGGAAAGTAAGCAAAATGTTCAGTAAATTGCCATTTTTTATACATGTTATAGACACCGGCCACAGTATTGACTGGAATTCAACCAAGATCCTTAAATCTGGAATCCGAGTCATCTGACTTCCCACTTACGAAGAGGCTATCAACATCAGCCGTCACCAGCCACAATGAATAGGGACGGGGGGGGGGGGGTCGATCTACCTGACATTTATAAGAGAGTCCCGGCCGCTATAACAACATTTACTCACATCAGTCTAATGAAGGCCTACGTCCAGGTCGGCCGTAAGCTTACGGTATGAAAGTTTTTCGGCTTGTGTTTGATAGTTTAAACTTCATTTATGTTTAGGAAAGCTGCTACGATACTTGGCCACAGGATAGCTAGGTCTACGTCTGCATGGCATGCACAGCAAAATCCCAAATGATAATGTAGAATACGAGCCTGTCCGTCGCCATCTAACTTCAGATGTCTCAGTTTCCAGACAGATGTAAAAGATAATATACAGAATAACCCTCATGAAAACCTTTTTGAAAAGGCCTACCTTTAGATCCAAGTAAGAAATTATGTAAGAAAAGCCCATTCAGCTAAATTTTTCACTTGAACAGTTTACCCTAAAAATTATTTTAATAGCATTTATATATAAAATTCGACGAAGGAGTTTTTAATACAGCTAAAAAAAAGTTAAAAAGGAATTAAAAAGGAATTAAAAGATTGTCAAGACTAACCCGCTGCTTATCTTGTTGTTCACGTTTCAACAACAGTGTAATAAAACTTGAAAACAATGTAAACCGAAAGTTTTTTCAATAAGTAGAATATTCATCATTTAAAATTAAAAATTACAGCCTTGTGTTTGATTTTTAAACCTGTCCTGTACGAAAATTATCCGAATGGTTGCTACATTAAGGCGTATAGGCCTGTAAAGACAACTCTTCAGGCTTATTATAAACGCATTTCTATTTTTTCCTGGTCGCAGCTTCACCAGTAGTAGATTTTGATAAATACAAAAGGTAAGACAAAGTTCCTCTCGATATTAAAAAGAAAACAACTGTTTGCTATGGCTATGGATTTTCCCATATACCAATGCCAATGGTTAAAGGGATAATAACTCTTCGTTTCGGCCAAAAAATGAATTTTCCTGGAGTGAACGACAATTTTCCCATACTTACCAATGGTTAATGAATCCATTTTTACATTCAAAGTTAGTCCCTGGGTTTTTTCTAAAAAGTTTGGTTTTTTGTTAAAATCTCTTAAGAGATTTTAACATAGTATAGCCATCAATGGAGGTCACGTGGTCTAAAGACAAGCTCAGATATCAGAATAATAGCTATAACTGCCGTTTTTGTGGTAAAACAGAATATATTATATTTCTATGAGTTATTCACAATGTTTTTATTGTGAAATATAGATCTCATACGAAGAGTTATTATCCCTTTAATGAATCCATTCCGACATTAAAAGTTAGCCCGTTTTTTTTCTAAGATTTTTTTTTTTTTTTAATTACGATTTTTAAAAAATGATCTCCTGAGAGGTTATTACAGATGTATAACCATTTATGAAGGTCCTTGAGGTCTGATGGCAAACACAGATTCCAGAATGAGTGTTTTGGTGGTAAAATGGAATTTATTATATTTCCATGAGACGTTTACAATGTTTTCATTGTAAAATATTAATATTATACGAACAGTTTTTATCCCTTTAAGTAAATGTATGTCATATCAATTATGTATGCATTTTTCTTCAATCAGTGTCAGTAATCGGAATTTATCTTATTTTAGAATGTTACGCCTACGAGTGCAGAACAGTAGCCTGTAAAAATGCCTTCTAGCGGTCACAACCACACCGTAACTAATGGTAATCTGCAAATGAAACTTAACACCTCCTCCCACCTAAGAAATTAAAGAAACAACAAACTCCTCAAAAATGCAGGTTACATTGATGGCATCAGTACAGCTTAGTGCCCCAAGCTTCAAAACTAGCTTAAAGAAATTTGTTACACAATGAAGGTTGTGCAGTTGAACAAGAGTACGTATCTTGGGCGTGCCATAGAAATAGGTTAAAACTTTTGATAACAAACTATGTATCGGAATTCTAAATAAACATTCTTTTGGTGCACGCTCACTAAGCGTGGAACTTGTGCCTATTGCTGACGAGTTATTTAACTGTGAAAATAAATATACCTAGCATAAAAGCTTGATTGACGCTGGGAAGCGGGGTCACAAAGAAGGCGGAGCAGGGAGGAGATTTCACAGTTTGCTTAAGTAAAACCCTTTGAAGATGGCCGCCTAGTGTTGGGTGGCTCGGACCCAAGGCGGCGTACTTACAAATAAGATAAATTTTATCGTGTTAATGTAACGACTGTCCGCGCAGTGATACCTCGGCGCGTCTCGCTGAGGCTCTTTAACAGGCGCGTTGATCGGAGGGTCGATTCGAAGGAATGTGCAAGGCTGAAGGAGGGTATTATTCACCTGATTAACTCAACTCGTTTGAACTTCTCCGCCTTCAAGTGTTCTAATCCGTATAATCCAATATCAGTATGCCTCTTGTGCGTCCCTCCTGCAGGGACCTCCCTGGATGGCCGAGGTTTAAGATTGCATTTTAATCACTGGCCCTTATTTAATCAATAAGTCTTCCCTCGGCTTCAAAGTCTCGATGGTGATTGATGTCCTGGCCTACCTGACACACTTGGCATGCTGAAATGCATAAGTTTGTTGAACAGCCCGCTCACTAAGCTGGTTGCACACCTGACGGAGCACACTCGGCTCTGTTTACATGCGAAAACATCTATGCATGACAAATAACATTCTCTACTATTTGTACTCATGGTAGCCTGAAGAACGGTGGAATGGTCAGCACCCTGACGAATCCACTGTAACATTCCTGTCCGAAAGCTAAATGCTATTTTGAAATATTTGAAATTTGACCCCCAAAATTTTAAAGGAAAGATTATCAATGGAGCGGGAAGTTCTTCCATGAATGGCCGTAATTCCATTGCACTAGATTTTAGTGGTTCGAGTACCTTCACTCAAAGCGCTCACTACCTTTGATCAAGCATATTGATTTCAGCTAAAAGCTGCAGTAAATAATTATCGATAGGGGACCGTAAACAAATTGGAGTCCAACTGCAAATAGCGGTCTTTAAAAAACGACATGGCCACTAAAGTTGTTGAGTAGAGATATGGTGTGCTTTCCGCCTTTCTTCCTTCTTTTTTAACGCCTCATGCTGGGGCGGCGCGACTTATCTCAACTCAATTGGAGTTACCTAACAAGTAAATGAACGTAAGGCCCGATACCGTCCACAAAGCAGACTCTTTTAACACAAAGCCTTAATTTAGCACCCTCCTGATCATGTGATCTGATCCTCCAATCCCAGCTTTAAAGGGTCGGCGTCGGTCCTTTGATCTCGTAAATCCAATTATTTGTGTATATAAATTCCCTACGAGGTGATTAGTTGCCCACCCTTGCCAGCCCCTCTAATAACATTGGCATAATCAGCTCTATTATAAACGGCAACAACCCCTCGCCAGGAAGCATATGGACATAAAGGATTTAATTCTCCTTTAGTGCACCCGACAGCGTGAGACTATTGGTTGGCGGTATACATCAAAATAACTCCTAGAGCTCCGATTGGCTGGCGGCATCTTCAGATCTCCGTGATAACGCTTGAAGTGTTACTGCTTATTGAAAGAACTCTTGCAGATATTAGCCATTCTGCCGAAGAAGTTTGTGTGCTTGGTAGTGTAAGACCCAAGAGAAGATCTAGACCTAGTACTCAGACTGGATAGAGAAATGGCGCAGCCCGCGGTGTTACACCAAGTCCATGCTCCGTCGCCGTATATCCACCGTCCTTTACAGGTACGTACATACAACCATGTAATATTAAGTCTAAGTGACCTCCGTTGAGCCAAGCAGTGCAACTGTTGATATCAACCAATTTCAGCCATGAAATAGTACTGTTTCAATTGGGATAACAACAATGTAAATGCGTGATTTTATTTTTCCTGCCAGTACGACGCACAGAACAATATCATGTGTACTAAAGAACCTAGTATACAACCTCTCTAATGTGTTAGGGTTTACTAAGCATGACAACTGTAAAATGCAAAATCTGACCAAAATAATGGCCACGGAACGTCTGAGACACGCCACAACGCCTAAACCTTAAAATGTGGACCCATTGCATGACTTCCTTATGCCATTACATAATCCAGAAGTTGCAAGGTGTTTGTTTGCGTTTAATCTACGAGGTATGCACCAGCAGAGTTCTCTGTATTCGCTCGTCCTAACCACACGTGCTCTGGCGGTCTTTGATCTTTTTGCTTTGATGTGATCCCAACAAACCCACGGTTTTCGTTTGAAGAAAACTGTAGGGCAAACTCGGAACTGAAATATTCTGCATGAACGTGAATGATAATTTTTATAAATTTTGTATAACACGTATTGGTTAGATTATTTGTTTTGATAATTTTTTTATCCACATTAGGGTTTTTATTTTTGGGTGCGTGATAAACGCAACAGACTGGATGGTAAAGAATATTTGAAGGGAGGGGGCTTTTGAACATCAAGCAGTTTTAGATGGTTTAAAAAAGTATATACGTATTTTACATCATATTCCTACTGTTAATTTTCCAACCGTAAACCTGTGGACAGGGAATGAAAAGGTCTGATATACCATGATGCATTTGTAAATGAAAAACTATGTAGAAAATTAATTTGAAATGCATATGCGATATTGTTAGATTTTTACCTTCTTTTTTGTGGCATTCGGTCATTGCTTTTTTGTAATGATGAAATGCAGTCGTTTAAGTTTCTGTATTTTCAATATTTGCTGGATGAACATTAAACATTACAATAGAAAATGGATTTTTTATTGAGTTGACTGTAAAAACAAGTGAATTTTTATCTTCAGCAAATTTGAAATGTCTTAGAGTTATATAGATGTTCTTGTTTTAAAATTTTTATTTGCATTTAATTAAATATTGTTTGATGTATGTATTTAAACTTGAGTTATCTATTAAATTATTGCAAAAATAAATATATAACCTTTAAGAGCTTCAGTTATTTTGAATTAATTTCATCTTTTCAGGACCACCCGTTTGGGCAGATAGGTTTGACAGTGGAACCTCACAAATCGACAGCTCCTCTAGCCATGTTAGCGGCCCAGTGTGGGCGCATAGGCCACGATATCCCCCGCCCACAGAACCCTCACATGTACACGTTGAATGTTCACCCAGGCTGGTCTTCTCAACAAGGGCGTGGTCATAGCAGTGGCCAGCAGCAAACGGGACTGTCAGATATCGCAGGTTTTAACCATGGATTCGATGCGGTGTCTACGTATAACGCTATGGCTTCTTACAATAGAGACTTGGCGTGTGCCACAAGAGGCACGGATCAGAGGCTGTCGCATTTGACGTTAGATTTTCTACACCACTCAACGGGCCATTCCCCGCCGAATCGGCACCATATGTCCCCGCATCCTCACCCCCATCATCCTCACCACCATCACCATCACCATCACCATCAAATGCAAGTGCAACACAGTGTATCTGCCAGCTTGATGTCTGCCGGTGCTTTACCTGTACCAGCCTCGGTTAATTACTCCTCGAATATCACCCCACCTTTGACGACGTCCGTGCCGATCATGTTGGACACAGCCTCTCAGCTGCCCAAACAGCTCTCTCCGCCGCCGGCAACCGAGGCCGAGGCTCACTGGTGGAGCATTCAACAAAACCAGCCTGCACGTACAAAAGTGACTGTTCCACATGGTCCTCTGTCGCCAAGCTATGGTATCCCACCTCACATTATCTTTGGCCAGGCATCACCCACTGAATTGGCGTATCAGTCTTCCTTTCCAGGCCTTCTTGGCATACAGAAACCCACAACTAGGCGTTGTCGACGATGCCGTTGCCCAAATTGTCAAAATGCAAGCAGCTCTTCTGATCCCCAGAAACGCAAGATGCACGTGTGTCACATTCAGGGATGTGGGAAGGAGTACGGGAAAACGTCCCACTTAAAAGCACACTTACGGTGGCACGCCGGTGAACGCCCGTTTGTCTGTAACTGGTTATTTTGCGGGAAAAGTTTCACTCGTTCAGACGAGTTACAGCGTCACTTACGCACGCACACGGGAGAAAAACGATTTGCGTGTCACGAGTGCGGGAAACGATTCATGCGCAGTGACCATTTAAGTAAACACGTGAAAACGCACGAAAGCAAGAAACTGAAACAGAATGATGACTCTGTCACTGATCTGGACAGTAATAGTGGAGACAGTGTGAACGTTGAACAAGAATCGGACGATGAATTAGAACATGTAGAAGTAGAAAACTGAAAATTGAAACTATTTAAATTAGTATTTTTGGAAGTCAATTGACGCCAGCCGAACGCATCCCACCGACTTCAAAGAAATGCTCAAATCAATAAATGCCAAATACCATTGCTCAAATGTTGCTATACTTTTTTCAAAGAATTCTACGAGAACGTTGTCATATTCAAGTTTGTGATCTTTCAGGAAGTGTATTTTTTTATTTGTTTCGACTGACGCACCACTTCAAACAAAGTTATTTAAGTACAAAAATGTTGCTGTGTTTCTACATGCCAAGTGTAATTTGAATATCACTAACTACTTTTGTTTTATTTTAATTTACTGTACAGATGCTGTCAGCACATTAATCTTCTATTAAAATTGCTTATACTCACTGAATTGTTGTTTATTTTATTTTCGAAGATAATCATGCATTCGAAAGTGTTTTATTTATTTGAGAAACCAAAAATTTGTGGAAAATAATACGTGTCTCCGTGAAACTTGAATCTTTTTTCGTAGGTTTGTTCCCGATGGTTAAGTTCATATATAAACCAGCATTGCTCGGTGTGTTTCAACCACATAGACGACAATCATGGTTTCTTTGATGTTTTGATGAACACAATAAGTTAGCGTGCCTATATATTGGAGAGTGGTAGAATAAGATAAACACACGTTTTTTTAACCTGCCTTTAGCTTAACAAGCGTGTGCATATTGCCAAACACATGTAACAAATCTAAACAGAAATAACAATGGTGAATTGAAAATCCTTGTTCATAACAAACGCTGGAGAAAAAGTATTTTTACAGCCTTTTTGCATTGCCTTTGAACCCGAACGAGTGATCTATAGCTATGCTTTGATACTCGATCCAGCTCTAAAGAGCTCCCACATAGCTGCTTCGTTTGAAGATAGGAGAGTTGATAGTTGTGCCAGGCTCTGGCGGATGACTTTCAGAGCTGCAACCTTTTGTAGTGCAAAAACGTATAAATTATGGTATTTTTCTATGATTACAAATCGGAGCTTTTGAGTAAACATTGAACTTGACATGAATTGGTGCCGCCTCTAAGGAGTGAGCTCTTCTGAGCCTGTTCACACCTTTTCTCTTCATTTTGATGGCAAAGGCTGAGGAGTAATTATTGGGGATGTGTTATTTTCATTAAAACTTTTCACCGTTCAAGTATTTCTAATATCATCGGCCAAACAAATGCTTTAAGATAAAAATTTGCCTTCTTCTGGGTTTATGATTCCACGTGTTTTCAAAGGAAGTGGGTAGTAATCAGCAAAAGGATGACCGTGCTTGTAAAGTAAACCCCATCCACTAACGCCGATAACCTTTTTAGCAAGATAACAACAAGAAGAAAACGCTTTATATCGTAGAAAGTTATCTCCGACAAGTTGGTAGTATGAATAATTTCATTATTTCTCTTCAAAAATGCACTGGCCTTTGATAGCAATCCATCTTTACATTGGATTTAATTATTTCTTCTCAGATGCGAGATGCCAAGGATACCCGATGCTGATTAAACGGTCGGGGATAGTCCCACGTACTGGCAAGTGTCGGCACCTTTGATGAGGAATCGACCGAACAGCAGGGAAGTCGAAGGAGATCTCGGTTTTTCTTCTCACCTGGCGTTTGATAGAAAAAAATTGCACCGGTGCAGAGCTAAGCTATTCAACTTTTATCAACAGGATTTAATAAGTTTTTATGCTTAAGGATATCATGTCGTATACTTCATATCATTGATTTTAGAAGCTTTTGGGGATTTAATGTAATTTGCGTTCTGCCTTAGTCAAAGAGTTTTGGGTGAATAAAGAAATGTGTGAAAAGATTACTGCGGGCTTTGGTGTAGATAAACGTATTAGCCTAGTTGTACTTTTTTCTCAAGTAGAGCAAAATGAAAACTCCGTTTGCATATTGCCGTCGGTTTGATAAAAAGCTTATTTTTGATCAAATGATTTAATAAGACCTTCATACGCGTTGCAATTAACCAGTAGATATGGAATTATGTTGTGAGTTATAATCATTACAGGACAAGTCGATATTAAAACGGTCCGTTGGTCTTATGCTTATGTACCACAAAATTCACACCAATACCACAAACGTTTATGGAAGCAACTCGTTAGGTGACAAAAGATGTATTTTCATTTCAATTACATTTAAGCGTTTGGAAACTATCAAAACGAGTTGTTTTATTGGGATGAAGGTACCTTAATAGTATACTTTTGGAACGTTTAATGTTTTTGATAAAAGGGATATGGCAGATACCTTACAAAGTGAAGTAAACAAGCATTGCTGAATTTTTGGAATGTTTGCGATTAATATAATGAGGTGGCATAATTTGGGAAGTGCATCAATATATTTGCATTTCCATTTATTACAAATATTTCAACGATGAAAAAAAACTCTGGTATACTAACTTAGCACTGTATTAAAGGGTACCAGCCTTATGGCCTTGTAAAAATTTGCGATGATTTTAGCATAACAGGGGGCATAATTTGGTATGTGTATATATGTGTACTTCCACTTATTTCTAATTTTTCGAAGATGAAAAATATTTGAGCAGATGTGTCCAGAAGCTACTAAAAACTTGACATTTTATTAAATAGCGCCAAACTTATTGTTATTATAATAATTATTAAGAAAATTAATCATTATTATTTTTATTGAGATTAAACCCGAAGATATACGAAATCGATAATTGAAACTGAGAAGCTTATTCATAAATGACCCGAGTTGACAACTCTGAAACTGTTAAGTAATAACCGTCGAGTTTTTCGCTTTTACCGTGCCTTTGTTTTTACAATTCTAAGTGAAAAGTTTTGTGGTAACGTGTTATAATTTTTTAAAAAATAAGAATTAGCAAAAATCGGCAAAAGCGACCGAGGTTTGGGAAGTGCTTGCTTTTGTACTCAGTAGGAAGTTAGAAAATAATACTGAAGATATTTCTAATACGTTTTTTCATAACATAATGAAATAACAGGTCGTGTTGTCAAGTTTATATGCTTAATAAGACACCGTTCCTCAAATACCAAATGACTAAATGTGACCCTAGTGTAAGTCTGTTTGACCATTTCTGGAATGTTATACTGCTGGAAAAAACTGAAAACAATATCTTGCCAGAATGGAGTAAAATTATATTGACAAAATCATAAAATGAAAATCAACAGAAACCAAGTCAATTTTTGATGGATAGTACTGACTAGGACCTGAGATAGAAATAGCGAGACTTGAAATTTTTAGTTCAAACCGTGGTACAATGTGATATCCACCCTATTTCTCTTGATATTCCAAATACAGTGTAGGTATATTTCTAGTTTTTTTAACGCGATAACTTATTAATGATACTGCAGTCAATGACGCCAATGTACATGTGTTTAAGGGTTTTTAGTTGAGGAGGAGAAGAGATTTCTTTACCTGATTTGTACGGTGGTATCTCTTAATAAATGACAGAGCAAGATTTTAGGTTAAGATCCCTGGTGCAAGAATGCTATAGATAAAAACAGCGACTTTTGATCCTTTTGATTAATGTATGGATGAGGCCTTTTTCTGTTTGTACAGGTATACATTTTTTTTTCAGTTTTTAAATCATAAATGGGATATTGAGATAAACTCTATTTATAGTCGACGAATATAAATAGAGTAATCATAACGTGATAAAATTCGGACGCAAAATTAGCAAGGGGCGAGAAACTAATCCCGAGTTACCCCATGAATATTATTAAACAGCCTTCCCTTTATTTTAAACAAAACACAAGAAAAGTTAGTTGAATCAAAGCAATTTAGATTAAATTCTAATGCCAAAGACCGTAATTTTATACTTTTATTATTGCTCGCACTTTTGTGCAAATGGCAAAACACACAAAATCAACAGTCGAATAGGTTACTTAAGCGATTGCTGTGGCGGAGATGTGCTGACAAGCACCGTCATCTCTGGCACATTTGAATGAGCATTTTTCTGTCAAAACTGAAGTCTGCATGCCGAGAACGCCTGCGAGAGGCCAACGACGATGATAAGAAAAAAAATTCGGTCGAAGTATGCATTTCTGTGAGATACAGAGTGAAATATGTAATACTATCTTTTCCTTACATTGTTATTTAAAATTTTAGTTGATCGGGCCATATGGCCAATCTATTTCAGGTTGGTGATAGTAATAACAAAAAAGCACCAAGGATCCACAAATTCATTTACATAATGAGATCGTTTGGTTTGGTTGATTTTATCATTTTCCTAGAATTGTAAGTGATTTCAAGAATGACGACTGAAAATTTACTCCATACTGTGTACAAATAGAGTAAGGAGAGAACGGGAGCCAAAACAACTTCAACTGACGAGACATGATGTACAATAGAATGTGTTAAAATAGTAAGCCATTTTCAATTTCCCAAGGCACATTTGACAATGATATATTTCAAGGAAATCTCAATACAAGAACAGATTTCCTCTTATTTTTCAACTCTTAAAATCCTGCATTTTCCCAGTGCAATTTCAACAATTTTGCTGCCGGTATGTTGAAACATGGCTGTCTTTTCTTACTTTTTCTCTTGTAATTCTACCTGCATTAAATACATCACAGAGAAAATGAATCTTTCATATATGCTTTTTGATTTGAAGGGACTACATATAATTATAAATATCATGAAAATTTTATATTCTAAATCAATGTTATTATGGTATACGATACACCAAAGATGTAATTTAGAATACTTTAAGTATGAAATAATGAGCGATGTCACTTTCATTGAGTTTAGCCGCAACATGTTTTGTATCAAAATTTTATTCTTTTTGTTAATCTTCTTGTGATCCGCGGTTGTGCTATGCTGACTATGGTGCGTTTAACTTTACGCTTACAAAGCTCAAAGCTCCTTCCAGGGCCGTTATAACCGAAAAATAGTATCGCACTTTCTTAAGAAGCACGTTTTCCTTGCGGCATATTGTAGGTACTTATTTCTTTTTTATAGCATTCAATTATTTTGCAAAATTGTAACGCATGATATTAAACCACGGGGTACCTGTAAAGATTTTCAAATATTCATCGCCTCTTTTTTCTTTAAAGAGTATTTGTTTTTCCTGCAGCATATTGCTTATTTCGTTTTTATAACGTTCAATTATTCTGTCGATTAAAACCACATGGAATAAAGCCAAAAGCAGAACTTGTGTTTTGGGACTATTTCTCCCTCTCTCGTGGGCATTTTTGTTTTGACGTGCGGACCTACATGACCGGTGGGAAACAAAGTGGAAGATTTTATGTTATTCGTCATATAACGTATGGCGTCGGTAGGGGTGTGTCTCTTACCTCTAGGGGTTTATTTGCCGTTTCACCTGATCTTTAAAAATTCCATGGTAGAGGTAAGACCAAAATAGAGACACGCTGACCGTAACAGTCAGTGACGTTCATGAC